TTGTACACATTAAAAAAATAAAGTTAGGACTGGGAATCAATGTTCTTCCCAGAATCAGAAGTGGAAACCGAATACTCTTAATCAGAGGTGGTGGGAAAACAAAAAGGCAGGTGGAGAGCTGAGCTTCTCAGATAACTTGTTTACATTTCAGTTGCCATCACTAATCTAGTCCCTGTTTGTGCTGGCTTAGAAACTAGTGTCAAATGAGCAACTCCAGAACTGATGATGCTGTATGTTACTCTGGAAAGGAGTTATAACATTATCCAGTGATCAGTATTAAAATAGAGTTAGTATGACTTTATATATATTTTCCTGCTAAGCAATCAAAACGTAACAAGTGAATGAAGCTCAGCAGTAATCCAAGTACTGTAAGTGTGTATCCTCAAACCAGTTTTGCAAATTGGGACAGAGAGCTATAATTGACCTTACTGAAGTGGCCTTTATTTTCACCAGTTCATGATCAAAGTAGTTACGTTACACTGAATAACTCTTCTAATTCACGACACCTGAATAAATGTCAGGAAAACCAGCCTGGAATGCACGTTCCACTATCTGCAGCCATCCTGCAGCACAGCTTGAGTAAAGTCCATCCCCCTATCCCTACACTGAAGTCCACTCTAATGATCAAAAAGTGCTTCTGGACTGAAAAGTCCATCACACTGATAACAGGCTTGTTTGTAAACTCGAGCTGTGCCTCAGCATGGTCTGGAATAGCTGTAATTCTGCCTGGGTTTAGGGTCCATTTATGTATCTCTTTTTCACTTAAAATATTCCCTGGCTGTTCCAAAGCACATTAAGCTGGAAGTTATCAGATACCACACAAAAGAAGAAAAAGAGTACATCTGAACTGGCCAACACAAGCTTTTAACAAACAGAATGGTACATAAAAATAAAATTTAAAAAAAAAATTCTGTGGATAGTTTCTAGAGTTGCTTTGGATTTCATCATCTCTATTTCCTCCTCTGGTTTAATTATTTTTAACTGAAAAAAGTGTTTGGCTTCTTTGGCTTAAGCTACTGCCTTTCTGCAGCTAAAAAAAGAAAAGAAGTCGTAAATACATTCAAGTGCTTTAGCTAAAAGTAAGGCCTTCAAGTGCTCTCTGAACCCTGAGCAGAGCAGCAAATCAGGGCTGTGGTGCCACCTTGGCATACAGCTGTCCCTCCAACCTCTTCGTCCACACAGGCATACCCAAAACCTGCAGAGGGGAAGGCTGAGTCAACCTTCTAGAATAGTTGCCAGAGTGTTTATCAACATCCCATCAGGGTGGGGACTGCATGTTAACATCGGTGTTCCAGGACCACCACCTGCTCCTCTTTCCTCTTCCTCTACCACAATGATATGACAGCCCAGGAGCCCATAAGCCAAACTAGGAATAACTCATTTTAAATAAAGATAGGTTTGACTGCTTTTAAAATGGAACATGCTGCTAAGAAATCATTTAGCAGGGAGGTAAGGAACACGTGCTGCTTTGCAAACGGATCCAAGGCTGGGGTCCTACTTGAAGACATAGTTATAGATGATGTCAGTATCATTTATGAATCCAAGTATATATTATTTTAATACAGATTTCCTGGTATCCATTATAGTTACAGATGTTACAAGCTTCCATTATTAATTTTTTTGTGTGCTCATAACTTTCCCAAACCCAGATCACTTCTGTTCAAAGGTAATTTTGTTGTCCTTTACAAAGTGTTTCAGGGGAGGGTTTTGACAAAACCTTCTTACCTGTTGTTTAGGTTAAAAGATGGGAAAGCATGCCACTGTCTGTCAATAAAACTCTAATTATACTCTTTTGAGCAAAACATACCAAAAAAACAACCCACCGAATAGTTACCACTCAACAGTGACATCCCACCTCAGCATGGACCCCATCCTTATAAGGTCTAGTGTTTATGCCTGGGTTTATGAGTAAAGCTTTTTTAAAACAATTTAAATAATTTTTAATGTACTGGAGAGCATGTCCTAGTGTGTGTGTGTGTGTCACTGCCCTCTGGTGCACAGCGGCAGGAGAGCTTGGCTGCTCCGTAGGGACTGAGGTGTGGGCACCCACCCGCCCATATTCCTAATTAGTGCAAGTGCTCAGGCCCCTACTGACTTCATGGGGGAGCTAGAGCTGTGAAAGTAGTTAAATCTTCACCCCCGTGGGAGTTAGGAAACATAATCCCCGTAAAGATCTGTCCCTTTCTGTCTTGTGTTGGTAGAAAATGCCACATGGAAAGAGCGTGCAAGCATGGGGCTCACCCCCTTGTGTTGTCGTTTCAGGAGTTGCACATCTCAAAATATCTGGGAGATTCACTGCAAGTGGTGTTGTGATCCTAATGAGCATTACTAAAGCATGACCTAAAGCATCTCTGCCCTTTTGTTCTCTCCAGTTTTGTGCTTCTAGCATGTAACAGACTGACACCCTTAAGGCTGAAAGGGTTTTGCCTAATCCGGTGTTTTGGGATAAAATAAAAGGTTTAGCAGGGTAAATGCATTGGGCTAAATGCAGGGATAATGCAACCTAGTCAGTAATAGTTGTAACTGTCCACTATGGACATCAGTGACAGGAAACCTGTGAAAATCAGCTAAAATCTCAAAAAATGCTGCCCCAACCCCCTGTAAGGAGGATAGTTCTGCTTGCTATACAGAGCAGGGTGCTTACCTCATCTAGAGCTCCTCCCTGTCCCCTAGAGCTGCTATGCTCCTTGTGGATTTATTGAGGCAATTAAGATAACACAGCCACTCTCAGTCTATGGATTTGTACCTTTTCATGCTATTTTTCTATTAAAGCCAGATTTCAGGTATTTCTGTCTCTCTGTGTAATACTAGTGACCATCAAATCTCAACAGTCACTTCTTTTTCAGAATTTGCTCCCAGTGAGATTAGTGTGAATTTTGCCACTTGGAACATGCCAATATCAAGTGCTTTTGAATTATATTTGAGTGACCTTAGCTGTATTTCACAAATGAATAGCTTTTCTCTCTAAAAATGCAGCTTTTTCAACTGTGCATCAAGTTCCAAGACTTAGTCTCATGGTTTTGAACACTTAAATTTGATAACACAGTGGCAAAAGTTCTGTAGCCCTGATTTCTGCTGAAGGAGTGTAATTAGGAGGAAATTACTTCCTTGGTTTGTTTCCATCTCTGACTTCTTTAAGCTTTTCTATTTAAGTCTGTTTAAACAGTGCATGAACCACCTCATATGGATAAGCCTAATAAAAAAACCCTCTCAAGTATATATATGAAGTTTCACATAATTTATAAAGAAATGATTTATTGCTAGGGGATAATTTGAAGCTTTTATCTTAACTCATACACAGGGGAGGTAGGCTAAACCCCAAACCTTAAGTTGTGATTATTTTCTAGTTATTAAAAAAAATAATAATAATTGTAGAGGCTGACAAAGATTTCTCTGATATTAAGAATGTGCCATTTACTTGCCATTTGCAAGTAAAACGTCATCTCCATTTTAGTCACTGGCCACAGGAGCTCAGCTGGGGCCCTGAATGCCAAGCTGAGAGCTTTTTTTCACCATAATGAAGGTCTTGTAGGGTAAACTCCAATCCCTTTGATAGGTTTACACGAAAGCAAAGATTTGTTCTTTGCAATGCTGTTGATGATATACAACAAAGGTAGGTCTTTAGTCATGCTCACCCTGCACTGTCTTCTGTGTGTTTGCATGTGTGAGTGTATTTATACGGATATGTGCATGAATATACACAGATAAATGAAATGTGAGGATAAATGTAGTACAGACACCTGAGTTCCACACCTATTTGTGCATGCATCCAATATTAATCTGGGGTTGACATAGAAAGAGTCAGAAAAAGCCCCTGAAAGCTTATTTAAAAAAATGTTCCTGAGGCTCTGGTATCTCACCCAGTCAGATGCACTAATTTTACCAAAGAATAATTATAAAATGAAAAACTATGCTAATTCTTAAATATAATCCCTGCTTGTTTAGCTTTTATTTGCTTCACTTTGAAATAATACACTGTAATCTTTCTACTTCTTAAAAACTTTATCTCTAAACTGTGGCACCCAAGTAGGTGGCCTAGCTAATACTTCCTTTTCCCCAGCCAGGTAGACTGGGAAGAGGCAGCAGACTGTGCCTTCAGGAGACTCAAGAAATTTGATGGATAGCTTTCCTTGGGTTATCATCACATGTCAAAGATGATGTCCATACAGAGTGTAGATTTCCTAACGATGCAGCATCCTTGGAAAGAAAATTTTTTCCTTAGTTTACTCACTTGGTGTGAATAAAGAAGTCCACGAGGAAGGAATCAGTACTTTAAGAAAATACTTCTACTTACAGTTACCACATTCCTGCTTTCTCTCTACCCTTTCAAAATTCACCATAAATAAGAGGTTGTAGTAATTAATTACCAGCCAAGTGTCTCAATTAATGTTCTGCAAGTGCAGTATCCTCTGGGTGAAGTGCTACAGCTAAGTTATATTATGTCCGGTTCGGTGTTTGAATACCAGTGCAGACAGCCACGTGCACAGACACACACGTGTGCCAAGAGAGTGTGTTGTGTTCATTTTATTTTTTTGAGATGTGACACTTCAGTTTTTCTTTCCTTCCTAGAGAGGTCGAAGTCCTTTTTAAAGGACCTAATTTCTGCGCAGTAGAGCTCGTGGGCAAACACTAAATGCAAAATGAGGAACGCAGTCATGGCTCTAAATACATTTCACATTCTTCAAACTGATGCCAGTTGTACTCATTGACAGTAATCCTGTCTAATCCCTTCCACATGTATTATCTTTGTACACCTGCTTTCATTGTCTCACTTATCAGTTCTTAACACTTAGAACCACAATACACAAGAAGGCAAAGCAGCAGAACAAAGTATATATGCACACACAGTGTGCTATGCTACAGCTTTGCATTATAGACATAAAACATATTTGTAGATTTTGGTGCTTAGAGTCAACATCTTCCATTAAGACTACTTCCATTTTTCCTGCTTCCTCCCCCCACACCAACTGATGTATGTCTGTGTTTGTCTTTCTTGGCAGATTAACTGAAGCACATCGAACAGCTGTAAAAGTCATCAGGAGAATGCAGTATTTTGTAGCCAGAAGAAAATTTCAGGTAAGCAGCATGATTAATCATAAGTACAATTGCTGTAAGCTTAAGTATATGACATAGAAAGTGCTCTCAGAGTGCTCTCAAAGTCTTTGTGCATGCAGCACTAATAAGTCAAAGGCATTCTTTAGGTTCTTGGCCTCATACTTACCTTACGTGGATTTTTTCATGGTGTGGGCAAAACTGTCAACTATCCATGGGTATAGCATGATACAAAAACCTGCATTTGTGGAGTCAGTGTGGTTATTTTTCACTTCTCTTTTCGTGCTGCATTTGTTTTTTGGGCTTCTATTCGTTTTACTACACTGACCAATACTTACCCTTCTACTAGAAGTGAAAAAAACACTCTGCTGGAGTGTCTGCAAGAACACTGTTACTGTGCACATGATCATAATGACTGGTTAGAGGATGCTCAGTTGTGTGCTGTGGATGGCTGACAGATCAATAGGCCTCACTGATGAGTACCATGCTGTGTAAAGTTGCTTTCACATTTGTGACCCACATTTCCAAATTGGTTTCCCAGAAAAGGACATCATAGGCCGTATTTTGTAAAACTGGGCAGCATTGGCCCTCTGGGAATTTGCTGTCTTTATGGAGGGTTAAGTTAATTTTCTCATTCGGGTTACAGTGTTCTCAGACTAAATGTACTGCATTGGAAATACTGTTATATTTTGCCTGTTTACTGAGGCTTCTTGTGATAAAACTCTTTTGGACTGGGATTCTGATATCATCGTTCTCACCACCCATGGGCTGGAAATGCCATGGAAATGAAAAATTAACTTCTGGACTGATTTTCAAAGCCCCTGTTGTTTCCATTTAAGATTCTTGCTTTTTTTGTCTGAGAGGATCCACTGCAAGTTAATGAACTTTCATAATCCTTTTGAAGAGGTTTTAAAAGCATAAATCAAGAACCTACATTTCAGGGAAGTTTGACTAGAGCTGAGCACTTAATTGCAAGGGATAAAAGTCTGAGATAAGCTCACAGCACTCAGAAGACTCTGAATTATGGCAGACAGAATAGCATATACATTTCCCAAGCTCATGCAGACGTATCTTCAGATGACCCTACCTTTTGAAAGAAGACTAGGGGAAATCAGTTTATTTAACTCGGAAAAAACCCAGGAGAACAGGATTATATTGTAAATATACCGGAGACATAAACAGTATGGGAAATTAAAAATAAATAAATAATAAAAAAATTAAAGACACCATTTCTCGAAAATAAAATCAGTTTATAAATTATTTAGATTAAAAATTAGTATATTTCAAACCACCAGAGACCTAATGTTCTGGGGCTGTCAGCCAACAGCGGTCCTGCCAGACTTCACAAAATGAACTTGATCAGTCTATGGAGAGAATTCTGTGAGTTGGTTTTAGTGACAGGGATAAAGAAGATGAAGGAATGATCTTCTGTTTCTTTCTTGGGGCCATGAAATACAGTTTATAGGACTCCCTATGCTAATTAGATTTTGGAAGTTCAAAGCTGGGTAATATTATTTAGAGTTTTGCATTAGGAGCTTTAAGCACACTGAATGTGGACTACTGAGCTCAAATGGCCAGGATTTGGGATTATGGGCAGAATGGAAGTTAAAGGAGTTGCTCAAGTTCTGCATTTACCACACTTCCCTGGAAGGCAATTGCCTCCTGGCTTAAGTTGTATTGTACTAGCATTTTCTAATAAAAACATAACAAGAGATTGGGCCAAAGTTTGGCAGGACCTTAGATGCTCAGATCTAAAGCTTTATAGGAAAAGAGGAGATACAAATGGTGAAAGCTGGAAGGATATTTTTACAAAGCTTTAGAGAGGACTCAGACAGATTGCAGTGTACAGTACTTTGCAACTGTATAATTCAGAGCTGATGATTTGGTAAAAGGGATAACAGATAGAGGACTTCTTTTGGGGGAGAAATTTCATTACAATTGAGTAGAATTAATTATGCTCATAGTAACCCATGGGGGAGAGGGGAGTGCAAAAATCCCCAGCACATCTAGGCTCTGTGCCATGCATCGTGTTTAAATAGAGAGTGTCCAAAGGAAAGGACGGAGAATTTAGCCAAAAGGCTCTCAAAGCACCTCCACTAGTCAATCCAAAGAGTGATACTGGCACTGTTTCTCGGGGTGAAGACAATAGGCTGCTTTTCTGGCCAGAAATAGTGATGTGTCAGCGTCTGCAAAATGTGAAGCTGGGGAAGCGAAAAAAAAAAAAGGCGATAAACTGAAAGCTGAAACCTCCCTCCCCCCGCAAAGTATCTCCTCTCACAAATGCACACAAATGTGCACACACACACTACCAAAGCCACGAACTCCTCTGAAAGTAATAATGCAGGTAAGTGCTGAGTGCAAGGAAGGCATTTTGTCACGAAGAGCTTTTCCTTCTTCATTCATTTCACGGGATTTGTTTCCATTCCAGTTCCATGCTTTCATTTGAAATTTCTAGGATCCTGTGGCTGCCTTCCAAGCATGACTCCAGCACATACTGTAGGTGTTCAATGCATGTGTGCAGTGGTGCATGCTAATGGCTCTGGCTGAAGCTGTGACAGAGTGGAAACAGACAACAAGATGACTAATGAGCTGTTTTCAGTAATTTCCAATTACTAGATTTGCAGTTTACCTTTGCTTTTTTTTTTTTTTTCTTTTCTTGAGTCAGAGCCAAAGGGAAGACATCTTGCCCCACATTTCCCATAGGGGTTGGTATGGCTCTCAAAATGCCAAAATTTTCAAAAAGACAAAATTTGTGTTTATTCCACCACACACACATTGATTTTACTTGCTAAAATTTTAGCGTGCTGCACTTTTTATAATCACATCACTTTATGCAAATTCTCTAGACTTGTTTCAAAATTCTGCCACAGTAGTTGCAGCAAGAAACCAAAGCTTGGCAGAAGCATCTGGATTCTCATTCGAATGGGAATAAAGCTGGGCAGATGGCAGTTTTTTCACTCTCTTGCATTTTTTATCTGTCCTTTTTTATTTGAATTGCACTTTTTTTTCTGACTTCGTAGGTATCATGAAAGACAAAGAAGCGCAAACAAAATCCACATGCAGCAGTCTTCTGACTTATGCAAAGCATCTGTCTTCCCAGTTCCTTAAACAGCAATATTTCTGTCACCAGACATCTTTAGTCTCTAGAGACATGTGATTCTGGGTCCAAGTGTTATGAATTGGGCCTGTTCCTGTGGTTCAGTCCTCTGACATTATGATTATCATATGGTTTTGGAATGAGCCAAGAGATACCGCACATGATAGTCTTAGATAAATTATATATCTTGGGTTTGTGTTTTTCAAATACACTGTGAAGGTCTAATATTTTGCTCAGTATGAAGTAACATGAAGACATGACTCTAACTGACAGTAATGGGAATCATTTGGCTCCATCTCCACAGTAAATATGCACTCCTACAACAGCTACATATTTTTTATTCATTACAACAACTGTTGCAAAATGGCAAGCAAATAACCTCTGGAAGATAAAAAAAAAAATAGAATGAAGGCCCATCTGAAATAAAAATCAAGTTTAAACAATACTTACCTTTCAATCTCTTGACTCTTTTCACAGCAAGCTCGGAAACCTTACGACGTCCGCGACGTGATCGAACAGTACTCACAAGGACACCTCAATATGATGGTTCGGATAAAAGAACTTCAAAGAAGGTAGTCCCTGTCTACCTCATGAAATATTTGATTTCTCTAGTGCCAGCTGGCTTTAGGAGAGATGCGTACTTAATGAACAGTAATTGTCTGAAATTGCAAGCGCAACGGGGAGCACAATATCTAGAGGATTTAGCTTGGAGTCATTTTTAACCCTTTTTATGACCAGGCTTACAATTGTCCTTTATTCTCCTCTCCTCTGTCTCCAAGTGAAATTAAAAGAAATGAAGGTGCATGCTGTGAAGTTTATAGTATGAAGCAAGTTTTTCTGTCCTCTCCTTAGAAAAGGAAAACTCTTCAAATAATGATTTGTCTTTCTGTTCCCACTCTCTGGTTCTCCACAATTGAGAGAAATCTGGTTCACTTGTGTTTCCCCCTCTATCTGGAACTTTTCCCTTCCTACATTCCTCCATGCACATGCTTTCTCTGAGTTTCGGATTTGCAGCTGAAATATTTTGCCACAAAACTATTCCCTTCTGTTTCAGCACAAAGTGTTTTTCTCTTTACAAATTAACGCTGTGGACTGGGACACCAGAATGAACTTCTCTGACCCTTAAATTAAATGAAAGAAAAAAAAAAATCCTGTTGAAAGGAATCTACTGTGTCAACATATATAGATGTTAAATCTGCCTGTATGAGATTCAAGGAATAGTTGCAAATGTTATTAAGAAGCTATTCTGTTTGTATAGTCTTTGTTATTAGATTATGTAAGACACAAGAGAACTATGTTTTAGTTACAACTTGAAAGTCTAAGAAATATTAGTACTCAAGAAAATAACAGTAATAATATGGTTTGATTTTGGAGAAAAACTCTAAAGAACTAAACTGCTGACTGTATATACAGAAAGTCATGCTAGTCTCGTGTTTTTACTTGTTTTGGTTTAGGTTTAAAGCTACTGTAAATTCTCATGTAAATTATGCTCCCATGCTTTTTCTAGCAACAGAGTTTAAGTTGCTTGGTAATTGCACTGCTGGTAATTCTCTGTTTGCTTTTCAGGTTGGACCAATCCTTGGGAAAGCCAGGTCTTTTCCTCCCAGGTATAGTGACTGCATTTTATGTAAAATTATTAGCTTCATAACTTTGTGAAAATACCATTGGCTTCAGATTTATAATCCAGCTAATTATGCATTAATATAATTCTGTTAATAAGCTTTGGAATGCCTGTGTAAAGATAAATATGTTGCATTTAGGTGGTAGTGGAGCAAATGGAAAGTAAGAATAAATGTTAGAAAGTTTATCAGTGCACGATGAGTTGGAAATATATCACAGGAAATTCTTCCACAAAAATATACTTTCTAAATCTTTCATGCTGGGATTAAAATATATGTTGATTCCACTTAAAAAGGTTTTTTTCCTTTTTGAATGACCTATAGATTTCAGTTCTGGAAAGCTCAAAGGAAGATCGTGGGTCTCACTCAGGAAGAACTGGGGTAAATTCGAAAGCTAGAGTGATAGAAGTGGTATGAAATTCGTCATAAAAAAGGCAAGGTCAGGCACAGGGAAACCAATAAAAAAAATCTCATACATGATCATGTTGGTGAACAGTTTGGCATGTCTAAGAAAAAGAAAGGCCTGGTTTGCTAATTAATTGTAGGCAAATGCAACTGAATGTAATGGCCATGAACAGCAGTGATATTCTGGGAAAATCTTGTGGTGGGAATCGTGGAGATCAGAAACCTGAGTGCTTGATGGGGAAAACTGAAAGAAGTGTTTATTTTTTTTCCAAAAGAAGTTGACTTCAAATTTCAGGGGCCCTGTCTCGTTCTCTGTCCCAAAAAGCTCAAAAGTGGCTTAGGAACTGAAGCCCCATATCCCCAAGTGACTTTCAGCACTCACAGCCATAAGTGTAATTGAGGGTGGCAAAGTTATTTCAGAGTCTTTAAAAAATTACATATTATCAGTGGTTAATATTACCAGAACAAGGAATATCTCTCAAAACACCTTTTCAACACCTGATTGTGGCAGAAGACTCAGTAGTATGATCTTCTTTCCCTGTAGCTGTGCTGGTTTTGGACCACAGGAAAATAATCTGTCAGCTCGAATACTTCTATAAATATTTATACTTGGGAATTCATTCTGCAATGTTCAAGCTAAAATTATGGAAAAACTTCCCTTACCTCCAAGAATGTATTATTTGATTTCAAAGGTAGCATTACCAAATTAGAACTGCAATTTGTTCTCAAAAAGACTACTGTTAGAAACACTTTTTATGAAACAGTGTCTTGTTTCAGAGGAGAGGAAGAATTAGAAGTGTTGGCTGCAAAGAAGCTAATTGTAAAATAATGTTCTGAGAGGTTTAAGAAGCTGAAGATGTTCAGGAAGTTTACTGTCACCAAATCTTGAGTCAGAATGGTCGTGGTAACCACTGGGAGGGTCTTAGGTAGGTCTGTGGATTTGAACAAGTGTTCAAGTGTTGAAAAGAGTCTAAAGTACCGAGGAAGAGCCATGGGGTTGTGTCCATGATTGATTCGTGCATGATCCACCTGTAGGCCTGAAGTTACACAGCAGCTTCCTGCAGAGATAGCCTGTAAATACAGCCCCAGATGATTAAAGTCAAAATCTGTCACACATTTTTTATGGTTCATTATAACTTTTTATTGAAAACTCTTCCTTTGATTTACTATGAGAAAAATGTTGAGCTAGGCTCATCTTCAGAATTCATGATGGGAAGCCTTACTGTGGGAAGTATCACAAGACTTCTGAGTTATTTGGGAAAGCCATAATCTGTGCTCTGAAGGAGATTATGGCATCCGTGTTCATACAACTACTTTCCCTTGTTAAGTCTTTTCTTGCAGCATTACTGTTGAATAGCTCCTTTGAGACAGCTCTCTTAGATGCACAAGCATGGTGGCCCTGCTACGAATGATGTCTGCCTCCACAGCATGCCTTAAATGGGCTGAATAAATGCTGACTGGGAAAGGTAAAATGGCTGTAAGGGATGCAAAAGCTGTTAAGCTCAGTTATGGGTTTGCAAGACCAAAACCAAAAGTTAATTGATGTAGTAGTTATTTTATCTAGAGCCTCCACAAATACAAAAATAAGATAAGTGGTTCCAGATAAATGGTCTGCAGAACTAAATCTGGAGTTAGTTTACAATTACTCCCAGTGTTATCCAACCTGCCCCTACTGCCAGTATTATCCAAGTGATGAACAGTGATGAGTGGTTACAGTATTTCTCTGTTTGGGGTGAAAACAGACCTCTTGCATTGCCCTTCTCCTCTGGCAAAGGAGTTCTTCCTGAGTTTTCTTCAGAATTCATGGCTAATTCTGCACTGAAGATGTATTTTCAATATGATACTTACACTTTTCCAGGCATTGCTAAAAACCTCATTTGTAACAATTATAGATGTTTCCGCCAGAATGTGTTATTTTTGTATTGATGGCAAGCAAAAGAGAAATGACAATGCAAACAAAATTAAACTGCCAAGGAGAAAAACATGAGAAGAATTTTCCTTTTGAGCTCTTTTTTTTCCCCCTGTTTTATTATGCTCCCATTCAAAGAATCTTAAGGTCTGATTCCAAGCCCGTTGAAATAAATGGGAGTCTTTCCAGTGACCTCAGTGGGTTTTGGATCAGGCTGTTGTTGAAACCCTGTTGTCAACTTTGATAATATAAAGTAATTGCAGTGTGTCTATAGTATTATTACCTTTCAAAAGTGAATGATGTCATAAAAGATCCAGAATCTGAATTCACTGGAAGCAATTATTGTTATTTTTCAAGTTAGTTTCTTAAAGATAAAAAGCACTAAAAGCTGTGTTAAAACAAGATAAGGATACAAGAACAGAATAAAAGCCATGCTGGGTCAGACCAGTCCTGACTCTAATGGAGCCAAAAGCAAGGTTCTTTGGGAAATGTGTAAAAAAAGCTATGCATAAGCCTCTAAGTTTCCTGTAAGCTTTCAACCATTTGCAGATCAGAGACTTCCTGACATGGTTTCAGTGCATACAGTAGTACAAAATAGTGTGTTCTCAACACACTTTCCTAGAGACCCCTATAAACGTTTAACATCTGAGATATTTTGTAAAAAGAATTTTTATAAAATGATTACAAAAAAATTATTTAAGTTTTACATACATGTATGGTGAGAAATTCTACCTTTTTTGCTTGTTTTGCTCCTGGTACCTACTAGTTTTCTTTGAAACTCCTACTGTCAGGAGTGGATTTAAAAACGTTAAGATAATGGAAAAATTTTCCAAAGACCTGAATCCCTTTGTTATGGGCATACCCAGAAGACTGTGTCTTATTTTCATGGAAAGCCTGTCCCAGTGTTCCCAGGTGACACAATATTGTAAGATGACACACATTCTTGTAATAATATACATGTTAATAATTTGAAAGTGTTGATATAGAGGCAAAGCACATATTAATAAAATTATTGAATTAACAAAGTAGACACATATAATGATACAAATAAAAAGAGTGTAATACTTGACCTTCACTACACATAATGGAGTTAACTGCTTCTGATTGCAATTTTTGAGACTTACTATAGCTTTTCAGGGGCAAAGGTGAAGAATAATGCCAAGGTAAAACAAAAGGTCCAGTGTTTGGATTCAGAAAAGTACACAAAAAGCTGATATTTATCTGCAGTTCATCTGAACCTCTTGGGTCTGCATAACACCGGTGGGAATCCCTGGAGGAAAGAGCTTCCTTGTAAAATTTTGACAGTTCCATTGTTTGCTTTTTTTTCCATGAAATGCCACCTAAGCTTTCTGATAGTTTTTCCTTCCCATCTGTTAAGAAGAAATTGGGTCATAGTATCTTTTAAAACATAATAAATATGCTTGGTTTAATTTTTATCTTTTTGAGTCAATTAATATTTGAAATAAGAGATACTCATATTTCTGCAAGAACTGATTTATTCCACTCCTCCTGGAGACAAAATCAATGGGAACTTGGTCAAAACCAGAAACCACATAGGATATTTGCTGTAGCTGTCAGGTGTTCACAGTCTTGTTTCTGGAAGTTCATTTCATTGCTGGAGTTGATCTACCTCAATACAAAGAGCCAGCAGAAATATCACTTACATCCTATTCTGAGGGTTCAGAATTTGCAGCTAATTTACTGCATATTTAGGTCCTCTGAACAGTCTTGAACTGCATTCTTAATAAAGACTTAATAAAGAAGCTTGTATTTAATTTTTAAATTGGTGTATTAATTGTTTTATACATAGTGTAATGATAGTGTGTCTAAATCCTGCCATCAGCATCTTCAGGAAGAAGGGCAGAAGTGTGATATAGTTCTTTAACAAATGCAGTGAGCAAAGCTTGTCTCTAATAAGTTGATTTTATTGTTCCTTGTGAGTCACTTAAGCAAATTGTGTCATCTCAGAGGCTGGATAAGTGGAGCAGGTAGACTGACAGACCTTTTTGTTAAGGGCTGTCTTATTTGTTGAGAGGTGGTTGCATGTCTTTAACCAGGCAAAGTAGTCACTGCAGCTAGGTTTTTGCTACTTGAAAAAGCTAGAAATTTCTGCTCCCAGTGTATACTGTTTAACCTTCATCATGGAGCAGTTAACTCTATGGCAAAGTTTCCGTATTGCAGTAGTTTCTGTGTTTGGTAGTTTACTTTTTAGGCTGTCCAAAGGAAAACACAAGTGCCTGATGCAGGACTATGTTTTACCTTTTTTCAATTTCTTCTACTGATCAGTTCTGAAAGGCTCTGGCTGACAAGAAAAGAGACTCAAACCAAAAGTCATGATGCCTATGGCAACTTTGTTATTTGCTTTTTTATGGATCTGTGGCTTAAAAGAACAGTCCTGACTTCCATTTTCAGAAGCACTCTCAGTTTACAAGCCTAAGAACCTGGAACTTACCATAAGCTCATCACAGTTATCCCTGCGTGGAACTTTTGCAGAACTGGAAAAACAGATCCAGAAAGCTGTATTTGCATTGTTAGCCAAAAGAAGTCATGGTGTCTCTTGGGCTGTCCTGCTTTCTAAAATAGAATTTACAAGGTTTTGACATATCTTTAGCAGTCTGGAATATCCTTGGTGTCACAATGCTCATATTCCTCATTTTCTACTTAAAAGCAATCAACTGTTTTCAAATAAATTGTAATATTTTTCAGTTAGCTCCCTTCTATCTGTGTACACCGTGAAAGTAAAAATCAAGGAAGGACTCTTATTCTGTCCAAGCAGTCATTTCCAGCTTTAATAATTTTCAGACCATCTGTCTGCAATTCATCCACTGTCCTAATGCTCCCTGTAATTATTTTTTCTAACCAAAGGAAAAAAATTTGTTTTATTTAAAGTGTGTTGGTTTTTTTTTTTGTATAGTCTGATGAGATGGAGGACACTAATTGTGTTAAAAATTAAGAATATGGTGCGGTCCCTCATTTTATTTGCTTTCTTCCTCCTACTTATATAATTACATGTTATTTATATCACATGGTTCCATTTGGGGAAAGAGTCCCCACCTGCTGAACTGCCATGGAGCATACCTAAAATTTTTAACTTTTTCTTTTTTTTTTTTTTACAAGAGGCTTCTCTTGTTCTTCACTAGGAAAGGAGATGGGCCAGATTTATGAAAATATTAGAAAATGAATACAGGTTTGTGTTGTTTTGAAAGTAGAATAGCGTGTGTATTCAGGAAGGCAAAGGCTTTCAGGGAAGAAATTTCTATGTTAATAAAGATGAGAAATGGACTAAATGACCCAACAAGTATTCAGTCTCCCGAACTATAAAGCCTAGTGCTTATATACCTGTGTTTTCTCTGATTCAAAACAAAGTATATAAAATGATGGGTTAGTATCATACCAACTATGTTACATGAGCTTGTTGGAAGATATTTCTTTTTTATTTCTGAGCTAAAACTTGTCCATATGTATTTTCATCAAGTTGTAAATAATTGTGCTTCCTTCCACTAAAATCATGCAAATGTAGTCTTGTGTTTTGTGCCTTTCCCATATGTATTACTGGATTGCTTAGCTGATCTATCTGTTTTCTGAAGCCCACCAAGAAGAACAAACAAAAGTCAATACTAAAAGAAAGTTATTTTCATTTGCCAAGCAAAGACTGTAGAAATTGGGATATTTCAGATTTATAGTTAGCCCTGCAATTTTTTCAGCTGTGTAAAAGCAAATAATCTAATATAGGAAGTCTAAAATTATATATCTTGAAAATTATATGTCTTGAAAAGACTCAAGAGAGAAAACCTAAACATGAGATAGAAATCAAATGTACTGGAGCAACATTATCTGAACTTCTGTTCACCCTTCCAACGACAACCTTGAGCACATTGTGCACACACCACACTTACTTTAAAGGATGGTCTTTATTAGAAGAAAATGCTTGTAAATTAGAGCTGAATGCTGTTTTGTGTGGAGGCTAATAAGAAGTTGGGAAAGACCACAGCATTTTGTGATTTATACAATCTGCATGCCAATAAAGGGGTGGACGAGATACAGCTATACATGCATGTGTATCATTCTTTTCACTTCATCTGATGGGAGTGCCACATGCCACAAAACAGCTTCTAACTGCTTATCTGCTTCCTATTTTCTTGTTTTCTGTTCCACACAACATTTGAGAATAACTAAAATAGGAAACATTATTAACTTGGTTTGCTTGGTTTGTGATGTCTTAGGGATTACCTGATGGATGTAATTAGTGCTGGTGAGGAAATTATTATTTTATTTTATTATTATATATAAAAAAAAACAAACCACCATGCTTTTTGAAATATTTCTTCATGTTTGGGGGACTTTTTGGGTTTAGACCCAAACAAAAACACTACCTACCCACTGCTGTTCAAATCGCATCCCAGTTTAGAAATCCTTGAAGGCATGGTTTTTTCTGATATCTACTTTGGAAGATTTGTCTATGGATTTACTAACTAGAAAGTAGACTGCAGAATCAGTTATTTCATTTTAGGCAGAGATGAATGCAGATAAACTTGAACCTCAGCCACTTATATTTTAAGAGATTTCTGAGGTTGTGAATGATGAATAGCACACATATATAAGCCAAGCTGTGTCATTTATTGTCTGTCCCCTCACAGTGTCCTTGAAAAATCTTTGAATTTTCTCTCCTTATTGTGTTTGTTCCTGTAGGTTCTCTGATGAAACACTTCTCTTTTCTAATCTTGCACAGAGCTGCCAAGGGTCCATGACCTTTTAAATATTTTAGGTGGTCTGTAGAGGAGAAGGAAAGCACAAAAAGTACTCTTGCCAGCATTGCTAAGTTTGGGGTGCATAGAATACAAGTCACCTTGAAATGAACTTTTGTGCAAATACATGGCTAAACATGTCACACCAGCAAACATATGCACTGCTAATGGCAATGGTAAAGCAAGTACCATTCACTGAGAAATGCCAGAATGGGAGTTCTGTGCAGAGTGAGCACACATACAGGCAGTTATGGTGGGCACTGATGCACTGTAAATTCGTATCTCAGCCTGTCTTCCAGCAAGCCCTTCACATTGTGCTCACGCCCTAAACAAAATTGAATTAAATAGCTTTAAAAGCCAAAGCTCAATGACTCGTAAAAATGAAGTAATTTATGAAACTATCAGTTACTCCTAGCCGTTACTGGAGGTATAGTTTAGTAGAGAAAAATGTATCCAAATTCCATTGACATAGGCTAAGTTACTTTAGTATTGGGGCATGGGTTTTTTCTTGTCAATATTTTCTCCCAACTCAGGATATATGTGGGTTTTTGTTTCATTCCTTGTGAAATAACACCCCCAAACTATGGCATTCCTTTGCAGTAGGCCATGAGAACAGAAAGGATAGACCCCACTTTACACAGTTTTTAATCTTGGCTCCCAATCCCACCATTTGCAGCACAAGAGTGAAACAAAATGTATAACTTGGCTTTAATAATTAGGTTTCATAAGGAGCAGGAGGGAAAATGAGGTTGGAGATACAAGGGCTTTTCCCAGTGTCACTCATTTGCAAAGAGGAGATGGATAGATAAATAGATAGATAGATAGATAGACAGACAGACAGAAAGATAGAACCCCGGGATAGTGCTGTCTTCCACAGCTGCAACCTCAGTTTAAAACTATTCTGGTTTCTTTATGTATAGCAAGTGTACCTTGCTCATGCCAATGATACCCAAAACAGGAGGTGTGCCCAGTACTAGGCCTATTCCATCTAACTACATGCAATTAGCTGACATAATTAAACAAGAAAACAAGTTACCACAGGCACTATCTCTAATCATTCATGATCATAGACTACCTCTATCAATGTCCAGATTGCCCTTTAGACTAACCTAATCTTGCCAGTTAGACAAACTATTTCCCTTCTCTCCAACCACTCTCTTTCACTTCCATTCACCATCAGAAATTCTTTCTTGTTGTGTTCTTTTTTATGCTACCCTACTATTACCAGCTTCTTGTTTTGCTTTAAATATCATAGATATAATTCTTGGTCTGAATTTATTCTCCACCTAATGGATGTCCCATTTTTATTCTTCTTTATTTAGAAAAAGGGGTAGACAAAGGATACTATAGTATAGGAGCCAGACTGATCCGGCTAGAGGATAAGGTAAGTGCATGAAAGCTTGCTTTTTTTTTTTCCTGAGTCATGATATCTGATCTACAGACGTGCAAGATAGTATCTTGGCATGATTTACTTTAGAATTACAGGGCACCATAATAAAGAATAATATAATTTTTGTAAGGGAGTTGATGAAGTATCATGTGCATGTTGTTCAGCATTAACCATTTACCTGCCATGCAGATTTGGTTCTCGAGTATAAAAGGAACTGCTTGCATATTGAAGCCAAATCACACGTTTTGTATATAAGTACTGTGAACTAACAAGGTATTTGCCAGGCAAGTATTAGTGACTTAAACAGAAAGGCCAATATCAGGTTCTTTGTAAATAGCAGCAGTTGATATCTCAGTTAAGGATCTTGAGATTCTTTAATGTTTACTGCATTTTTTTCCCTGTGCAATTAGCTTTGCATCAATTCTGCCCCTCCCTCACTGTCTTCTCTCCAAGAATATGTTCATATTTCTCATTATTAGAGTTACTTAGAAGTATGCCTGGAGGCCAAAGCTCAGTGAGGCTCTATTGTTTTAGACCTAATATAAACTTCCTCAAAAGCTTTTCCTACTCAAGTGATAACAAAAAAAAGAAGTTTGCTTAAAATTAAGGCTCTATTTCTCTAATAGTGTTTTGGTCAGCTCTCTTACCTACCTCTAAAAGCTACCTACCCCTGGAACAGGGTGATTTCTGTGGACAGTAGCAACACAGTAGCTTTGGTGTGTGGTATGATGTAGCAGCTGAGACAAAAGTCCATTTGAATTTACCCTATCCACTGCTTATTTGTATCCTTGTCTCACTCAAATTTCTCATGCAAATTTTCCTTTCACTTCTTTCTGGGGAAGTGAGGTGAGAAGGAAAGAGGAAGGAAAATTCTCATAATTCTTAAGAACTGTGCATCTTGCCAAAAAGCAGAAATTGAAATTAAACTAATACAATCCCTTGCCTAATTTTTAATGATCTTTGCTAGGACAACATTGGAAATATGTAACACTGCGTGTCAAAGAACATATTTTCTTTAATTTTTAGCCTTCTTGGACAGTGCCAGAGAATCACCTTCACAGATAAGGACAAATCACCTGAGTTAACTTTTGAAGTGGATTGGTCCCTTGTGTGGACAGAGTCGTTTAAAGTGAAAATGGTTTTCATTCAGATTGCCTTAATTCACTTCAAAAGAGATAAATTGCTGTCTAGCCTCTGTATATCCTGTAAATTCATACCACTAGTTCGTTCAGATTTCTTGAATATGCATATTTAGAGAAACCCACAATACAAATTTGAAAATTTAGCAATAAAAGTATATGTGGTATCAGTTAGAGTGCTTTGAGTGAGAAATACTGCTAGTATTGTAAATACCTCTGGAAGCAGTTTTTCATGGTCTCCTGACTGCTCCATATTTATGAAGAAGAGAGGTGAGAAAGTTTTTAGTGTGTCTGGCACTGGTCCAGCTTTAGCACAATCTGCTCTGGATTTGGTAAACCTTATTTCAAAGCCTTACTTGGAGTACTTCAGAGGGATCTTGGTATAAGAAGAGGAATGTTACAGGAGATACTGGTGTATGCCATGAGTGCTGCAGTGACTGATCTCTGCATAGACCTGCTTGTGTTCTGCCTTTACAGCTTAAACCTGCCAGAAAACTGAACTCTAGCTGATTCAAAGAGATCATTTTCATCAATACTGCCTTGATGTAAATGTTTAGAGATGATGAAGCCACATGGTTTCACCTTCTCATGTTAAATATCTATTGAAAGCTTGTGGTAACAAGTCTGTAGCGTGGACTCACAGCAATATTTTCAGAACAACAGTCATGCAAATTAAAAAAAAAAAAACAAAAAACAAAAAACAGTGGTGTAGCCATCTCAACTTCATTTAGACATGATCTAAATATAGTGCAAGCTCAAACCATTAGTGTGGGCAAGACCTAGCTGCTATTTTGTTTGAAGAGTTCAACTTAGTTCTTTAAGTATTGTATGGAAACTGGTGAATTCTCTCTCTCTCTCTGCTTATTGTTCTGCAAAAAATGCATAGAAAGGAATAAAAATCTGTTGAGATGTTTTCATGAGATGACTCAATCATTGCAGCTTCCTTTTTGTTCTCAGACCAAACTACAAATGTAAAATAAAATGCCAGACTCCAAGGTAATCCAGGTTATTTGTTTTTTCAGTACACATTAACCTTCTTTCAGGGGTACAGGGCTTCATTCTCATACTCCTACCAGGAAAATATACATGGTGCAGAAAAAGCACAGACATTTGTTGTGTTGGTTTTGGGGGGATTTCGGTGGCATAGGTTTTGGTTTGTTTGGGGGTTTTTTTTGTATTTGCATCTCTTTGGCACATTAGGCTAAAATGCGTATGTTTACTTAATGAATACAAAGTGAAGGTTCCTACCTATCTCTGTTCTAATGGGACAATAGAAACTACTGCACCCTGCTGTCAAACTGCTTCCCCTAAACTATTTTCCCATGTTTCATGGGCTCTCCTGTTCTAATAGTTCACTGTGTAGTAGCTGCTATGTGCCCAAATGTGAAACAATATTGGAGTCAAGAAGGACGAGCTGAGTTTCAACCTCTGAGGAGAATAAATGAAGCAAGGGCATGTCTGACATCAGGCTCCAGCTGGTGGTGAAAAATGATCTCCCCCTTGGAACTAGGAAACCTTTGGGATCAGCCTCTTCCCCCTGGAGAAATTATTTTAACATTCAGTCACCCAGTATAGTCATGGCAGCCTCCCAACAGAGTGACACATCTGATAAAATGATACATTTTTGGACAAAGGCCAGTTAGTGTAGACTGATAAAAATGCAGTGTGGATTTGAGCATTTCATCTGCTTTAATAAACTGTATCAATAAGTGAATACTACACCTCTGGTCCAGACTGATCCTTCCCACCAGCATTTTGCAGTTCATTTGTTTTAGTTGTTTCTCTGAAAGGGAGTCAGAATGTACTATACCCACTCAGAGCTGTGCGTTTTTCAACGTAAAGTGATAATTACTCTTTTTTGTAAATTGAGGGAGAGAAAGTTGCACATTTCTGGTGGTTAAGATGAACTTCATTCCCTGGAGAGGCTTGCTGTTGTTTCAGTTAAAATGTGGGGTTTGCTGTACAGAAAGGCATAGGCGCAGATCTCTGAAGCGGTTGCTTAGTGATAGGTAGAGGCTTTGAGGCAAAGATTCAAAGATAGCAGCCTTCCATTCATGTGGCATGAGCAATATTGCCTGCAGCCTCTGTTTTGTGACCATCCAGCTCCTTATGTAACTTTGAGGGAACAGGGGAGAGGGAACAGAACAAGTCTGTGTAGGATGAAGCACCATGCGGGTCCAGCATAAAGCAGAGTTGAAATTTACTTTGCCTTCAAGCACTGCAAAGCTGACTGGAAAGGGGTAAAATGCATGGTGACAGTTTTCAGGCAATATGTAAACCCCTTTTTGGCAACATCAGTGCTGTGTAAGGCTTTACTCCTTTCAGTGACATAGAATGTTGCATAGTGTAAGTATACCTGTAACACTTTTCAACCTGTTTTTCCATGAGTAGGGTATGAAAATCTTATTTTGTTGTGGTCAGCATAATAACTTAGTGTGGTTCTTTTCACAAAAACACTGAAATGTTTAGAGAAAGAATGAGGCTTCTTTCCCAACACGTGATGTGTGCCACTTGGCCGACCCCTTCTTTAGTTTGATGGCAGGGTTTAATTTTATATTGTGGTATGTAGCCATTGACAGATTCTTTTGAAATGTATTAAGAGGGAGATTGGTTCCAAGACGATGTTCTAGAGCTGGAGTTAGTTTCTTTTCAAAATTGTAAACTAATGCTTCTTTATGATGAAATGAGTATTCTTTCTTTTCCTTTTCTTTTCAAAATTAGAAACAAAAATCATGGTGTGCTGTGTCATACTGCACGGCAACCTATAAATAAAAACAGGAGAGAAAAGAATCTGCAAATGAAAGGTTAGAAAGGACAGCTGTGTTGTCTTTGAAAAAGAAATCTATTAGGTATTTTTATAATTATATGGCAGTCTTCTTTATGTGGTATTTGCAGTTATGATTTACGTCCATATTACCATAACTGTTTCCATACTTATAGACAACATGTGATAATGCTGTGAGCCAAAAGCAGCCATTTGGTAGCATTTAAAAAATGCAAAAACACTAAGAGAAAGCAGGGCAGTAAAGCAGAACCCTTCTGAGTTTTATCCATCTGAGTAATACAAGCCAGAACAAAAGTGTTGTCCAACATAAACAAATGTAGAGGTTGGATTGTGGTGGTAAACTCTCTCTTTACCAATTTAAACACTCATTTTAGAGTTGGGAGCTAAAAAGATGGGCTCAGAGAAGAGTGGTATTTCCCTACCATCTTGTTCCTCCTGGGTAACAATGGAGAGATGGATGGTAGTGAATCTCATTCCTGCTGTGATTACATCAAGAGCCATTAAACAGTAAATTATTTATCATGACAGTGCCTGCAAGCACCACCATAGTGAAGGCCTGGTCAGAATTTCCATTATAAACACCCAGTTTGTGGGTGGGATGATGGGGATCACTGAAATGCATTAAAAAACAGCAAACAAACCATAAACAAAACAAAAACCCCAAACAAACAAACAAAAGGTGAATATTGGTGCATGATGAGACAGTTGTAAAAAGACCATGCTACATCTATAAGATTTCATGAATACGTCTGAAATAAACACATTTGTTAACAAAAACAAACATGTTTTGGCACTAAGGAGTTTGTGCATTGTTTGCCCCCAGATTTCTAAAGATTGAGTCATTCCATATAATAAAGTTTTTCAGAAGGCTTTTTGCAAATGGGTGTTGTGTGCATTTTCTTAGCCACTTAGGTCAAAGCCTTATCTCATTTACTCTGGAGCAGTACAGCATAAACACATGGATTCTGCACCATAAGCATGACGTCACTGGATTTTTATTTTCAATCTGTTGCCAAATTAAAACAAAACAAAACAAACAAACAAAACAAACAAACAAAAAAATAAAAGCC